TTAATTCATCAGGCTTCAAAGTCTTGCTCAATGGAAGGTTTGAGTACCAAGTGATGTATTTCTTAAGGTATCAGACTGTGCCAAAACATTTGGGTATTTGCCTGAAGGACGGTGAGTTTCCTATTTTCCACACCTTCAGAGAGATCAAAGGAGCCTTTCTTCAAAACTGCAGGTATCAAGCTGGGACAGATCCCAGCTGAGGGTTTCTTATGTTATTTCAGAAAGTAAAACAAAAGACCCAACGCCATCTCTGCAATGGCTGGGGCTGATCTTTGTACCTTCTTCTTCCTACCTTCTCATCTCAGATAAATTCCAAGGCTGATGCCCAGTATTGTGTAACTCGCTTGTGAATCTTTTGAGTTACCCATTAGTTACCTGTTAGACCCTCGGTGTTCCTGAACGCCTTGATTCTTCACAGATCTGTGCAAAACAGGCACGAACAACGTAACTCAGCACCGAATGAACGGGACAGTGAGCACCGAATAGGCCTTATTTTAAACTGCCTTCTGTTAGGTATTTTCGGGTGTAATCTCCAGGCGGTTTGCACTGTGAGGTTCTGTCACACTGAAGTCCGTCAAACTGAAATATTTGAGGACAGGTTTCTTAGTTTTTTCCATGTCTCGGAACAGGGTTAGAGGACATACATTGGGTTTTGCCTCTATCAAAAATACTGTAACTTGGAAGAACTGGGAATAGATGGAGGTCAGCATGGGAGGAGGGGTAGATATGAAGCATCTGGCCCTGAAATCTAATGTGTTCTCTCGCAGAACCTCTAATTGGACAGGAATAAGCTGTCCGATCTCTAATAAGAGACAGGAATGAGCCTTTTTCTTCCCCTCTTGCTGCTGGCAAGTGCCTGCTTCCCCCGCTCTGGCGGCTGAGGCGCTTCGGAGGAGAGCAAGCTCCTACTGCAACCTATTAGTGCCTCATTAAGCGCACCAGCTATTTGTAACGCGTTCGTGAAGGCGAGGAGCACCCACAGAAAGCCCTGGAGGGAATTAGTCAGTCTGTGTTCAGTGGGGATTTAGGGAGGTGTGGTAGGCAAACCCTAAAGCCACATGCTGAATGATGAGGATGAATGGAAAGCTGGAGGAGCCGCCCCTCCCCAGAGAACGGTGGGTCACGGAGTGAGACAGGGGCCAGCAGAGACCTACCGTGTGTCTATTAATGACTCTCATACCACGGGGGCCTCAGGGATAAACTTAATCCTAACATCATGTCATTTCAGAAGATTTAATATTGCAACTTAAAGCTTTTGGGGAGCAGTTTTTTACGTGGTGCAGCCTGCTTGAGTCCATACATGGTGACATTTATAAGAAGGTTTCCAGATTATTTGCAGTGCAACAAGGAGAGGAATTAAGAAAGAGAAGCACAGGTATTAACTTACACATCAACTATTATTTTCTTGACTGGATGAAGTATGTTAGGAAACGATCTCCGGTGTATGGAGCCACCTTGGTAAATATTTGTGCTGTGATACTGACACCTTTTTATACAATCTAGACAGTTCCTCAGGGATGGGAGACTGAGAATTTCTAGAGCCGGTATGCAGAGGTACTGGATCCATGTAAGGCCCAGGACATGGATAATCAAGGACTGAAGCCAACTTTACATCTTAGAGAGCAGGCATCTTACAATTAACTTGATTTCTACAGAAAAAGGGGGCAGTTTCAAGCATTATTATTTTTCTGAAGGGTCTTAGACAATGACTTTCCTCATTACCTTGTGATTTATGCCAGAAAATCTTCCTGTAGGGCGGTTTGACTCACGGGATCACGGCACAGACAGGCATACTCCTCTAGAGGTAAAGGCCAATGCAGTCTTTGTGAGGACACTTGTAAATTTAGCCCGAATGTTTCTGAGAGTGAAAGCCAGGCTGAACCAAATCAGTGAGAGGTTTCAATGGTGCCAGGGTTTCAACCCAGGTATCTGAAGAACAGGAAGGTCTTACGACTCGGGAACACCGTACCAAGTGTTAGAGAGAAACCTCAAAGACCTCAAGATAGATGTCAGCCCGGTTTCAGTTGCAAACCTCCTGACCACAAAGGCCCGTGAACTTCAGCGCACCCTCAGCCGGCAGAAGAGGGTTTAGAGGAGGCTGCTGACTGACAGGCGTCACTCTTCTGGGCTGTCCTGGACACTTCTGCAGGCCATGAATTTGGCAGCATTACTCGGTAATGCTACTTCTCCCTGCAGACGCTGCCTCGGTAGTAGTGTCTAACATTCTGCTGGGAAAGTCAGGAGTGAGGGTAACCATTCTTCTTAAAAGATCACAAGCAAATTCACCTGTTTTCAGATGTATTTATTATTAGCTCCTTTGTAAAACAAGCACAGTAAATTGCATTTGCAGCAGAAACAAGATGCATACACTTAATAAATATGAATAGAACTTGTAGCTAGATTATCAACAGTTTTCTGAAATATCAGATACTTCCCACATGTCAGTATTTAAATATCTTAAATTACTACCCACTTCTAAGACTGGAAAAAAGGAAGCATGGTCACAATAGAAGTCTTTCTTTAAATTTCAGTGATTCTCTATCAGAGATTGAGGCCTAAATCCTCAAAGATGCTTTAACATATTTTGCCCTCCTGAAAGTCAGGACTTAGGGGGTTTGACAAAAACGTACAGGCTTCAACACATGCTTCTGCTCCTTCCCAGACCTGGGGACTTACACTGTAAGCAGTTCAGAACTAGGACTTGAGGTTTTTTGCCTAAGGTTCTGTGAAGACACCTAGCACGTGTTGCAGTGCTAGGCAAATACTTTCAAAATGAACCATAAAAATCTGTATTATAAAACTCTGACTTTAATCAGATGCTTAAAATCCACATATAAAACCCGTTACCAATTGCTCTCTGAAATATCAGATACGCTGCAGTTAAGCTTCGAAATAATTTAAGCTGCCTTGGTTTCAGCTGCAGATTCCTGACCCCTGGCTTTGCCCACCGCACAGCAGGTCTGGATTAATTTTATTGTCAGAAAACTCCACTGCACTGGGTACACATGGATGACTGAATAAAGGGCTAGCAATGATCACAAGGATGAAGGAAAAGGCGTTTTGCTCAGGGGTTTAGTCTGACATATTCAGCGACTGGTTCCCATTTCCTTTCAGGTTCACAAGTGGCAACGGGACTCAAAGCTGCCTCCGCCCCAGCTTGGGTTCAGCCGCAGGTGTAGGGCTTTGGGGGGCTGACCTCTCGCGCAACATCCACTTGCAGTGTTCACCCGCTGGGCACCAGCACGGTGTAAGCACAGAGAGCTGACAAAACGCAGCAGCCCGCATTTCCAGGGCTCTGAGCTTGCAATTCCTTCTTTTACTGAACCATCTGCTATCAGATTGGAAGGTAAGGATGGCCCTGTTACAGCAGCCAAGGCTTTCTATGCTGATACATTTCAACAAAATAAATAAAAATAAATATTTAAATAACCAAATAATTAATCAATTAAATAATGTAATGTTAAAACAGTTCTTTCACTAAGTTAATTTCCAAATAAATTAACACATGAAACAGTTTGAATAGCAACTGCCATCATCTGGCATTGCAGTTCACATCAAGTAAATAAACAATAATATAAATAAATAAATAAATAACCTGCTAGGTAAATAAATAAATAAATTCGATACAATCGTATGCAGAACCCACAATAATAGCTGACAGCAATGTATCAAAATCCTCTACATGTTAATGTAACATGAGTTATGCTGAAGTTCTTTCTCAAATCTGGGGAAATTAAAAGAGCTGCCAAAATCAGGACTATTAATCTATTACAAAAAAGACAAGTTATGGCTTCTTAATAGACTCAAATGCAATTTTTTCTTCTAATTATGCTTATGTTCTTGTGCTAATTCATTCTTTGCCTTCTTTAGGAGGGTTGTGCCATTCTCCTAGAGTCTCTTACTGATTATCTGTAAAATAAGAGAAAGGAAATTTACATCAGAATTATCTTTATTTTCCTCAGACACAGATTTTTAGTGAGCTACCTAATGAAATGCCACTCGATTTCTCTAAAGGACTCAGGACACGTAATGGCTCAGAAGTTGCCGTCTGTGCTGCACATCAGCGACTCAGCCTCCACTGCTGAGAGTCAGGCACCTCTCCAGTCGTGGTGCTTTTGACAAGTTCCTTCCCCTCCCCCTGGCACCTGTAAATGCCCCTGTGCCAATGATGACTACGTCCATGAACACTGTGATGACATTCCAAGTGTCTCAAGAGGACAACAAGTTTACAACTTTTCAGCAGCGTGACTCATGTAACTTGGGGATCAGAAACATTTGTATCTACATCTAACTGAAAAAAACCCACCCCTAAATTACAAAAAAGAAAAGAGGAAGAACATGAAAAAAATCTGCATAATTCTTTTTGGTGTTGATCTGGAGGAGACTATTTCCATATTTTAAAACATGTTCCGGCCTGGAAAGCTAGGCTGAGAGTAACTTAGAGCTGTCAGAGACGGCTAGTTGATGCACAGAATAAGAAAACAGCTATTCCTAGGATTAGCAGAAGCTGCTAATAGCTTTCCTTTCCAGCAGCAAACATCTCCTCTCTCTCTCCCCCCGTTTCTGATGTTACTGGTGAAGCTTGGCTGCATACGGACTGTCTGCTCATTTGGACACTCAGCACTGATTCATAAGCTATCAATAAACAGAAATGATAAAAATCAGCACAGGTTTACACTAGGAACAGCCAAATGCTTATATATTTCTTAAAGAATATTTTATAATTGTCTAGTTAGCTAGAACCCTACCCATGCCCATGAACCTACATCCGTTGTTTCCTCTCTGATTTAAATGGATTCTAATTGTTTCTTCAATCATTTTTCTTTACGATAATCTTCTTTTAGACAGCCCAGTACATTTACATGTTTATTCTCTTACAGATATTTCATTAAAAAAATGTTCAGGAGACAAAAATTATTATGAGGAATTTGAAATAAATGAGTATTTAACACAGTGGTGTTCACAGGCTCCTTCCTCTTGGAGGCAAGGAATCATCCCTGCTCCTCCAGCAGAAGGTTCTTTAAGTCTCACCTGCAAAGTGAAGACCACGCACTCCAGGATGAGTTGTAATAGCGATCCCTGGCCTGCACTGAGATCTTGTCTTTTGGCCCAGCCGCTGGAATCCGAATGGACTGCTCGTCAGCGTCGTAGACCTGTGAACAGGGCACAGCTCCGTGAGCAGGTCGTATGGGTCAGGCAGAACGCACGGTAACGCGCCAGGTAGGTTGCAAGAAGCACGTGTCTTGTTTCAAAGGCACCGATTTTCACACACAGATACCGAAGTCTTGAGGACTGGTGAGAACTTGAGCCTCAGGAGAAACAACCCAAAAGGCTCACTTTCCACCAAAGTTAGTGGTGTGAAGTGATCCAGACCCCAGACTGAAAGAGTCACTAGAACCAAGGCTCTGTTTTTCTGGGTTTTTGGCTTTTCTCCTCTCCTCCCAGAATGGGAACCCTAAACCAGAAGTTGCTGCTTTGCAATATCGTTGAAATTTCCACTGAGGACTTGTGGCTGACACAGAAGCAGCCGTAGGCTCCCCAGTTTCTCTACCCGAGGGATTGTCCAAGACAGCTCCACTGAAATAAGGAGTCAGCACCGGGGGAACGGCCCCATCTGCTGGTACAGGCTTGCGGGTTTAGTCACCTAGGAACAGACATCCTCTCGTGTCTCTGGTTGAACCAGCGGGCAAACTGAAATGACGGTTACATCTGTGTACTCCTCTGGTTGCTGGACCAAGGAAGAGCAGCGCTGCGGTTAAGGACCTGCTCTGTGGTCAGCTGGTTTGTGTATTTCTTTCCAGTTCTGCTGTTGATTTCTTTGCCAATGGAGGTAAATCTTCACACGGCTGTGTACCCTTTAGTGCATCCATGAGCATTAGCAAAGGAAGCAAAACCATCTTGTGATTTAAAGCTCATACAGAATAGCAACGTTTAATTAACAATTAACTAATAACTGGAAAGTGAGTGGCAAAGACCATAGGCTTCGCCAGTCAACGCAGACATGCCACCAAATGAGTCATTAAATCATAGAATGGTTTGGGTTGGAAGGGACCTTAAAGACCATCCAGTTCTGACCCCCCTGCCATGGGCAGGGACACCTTGCACTACAGCAGGCCCTTGTAAAAGTCCCCCCAGCTTCCTTGTAGCCCCTTCAGGCACTGGAAGGGGCTATAAGGTCTCCCCGGAGCCTTCCCTTCTCCAGGCTGAACAAGCCCAACTCTCTCAGCCTGTCCCCATAGCATAGGGGCTCCAGCCCTCGGAGCATCTTCGTGGCCTCCTCTGGACTCGCTCCAAGGGGTCAATATCCTTCTGATGTTGGGGCTCCACAGCTGGACGCAGCACTCCAGGTGGGGTCTCACCAGAGCAGAGTACAGGGGCAGAATCCCCTCCCTCGACCTGCTGGCCACACTTCTCTGGATACAGCCCAGGATACGGTTGGCCTTCTGGGCTGCCAGCGCACACGGCCGGCTCATGTTCAGCTTTTCATCCCCCAGTACCCCAAGTCCTTCTCCTCAGGGCAGCTCTCCATCCATTCTCCACCCAGCCTGTCCTTGTGCTTGGGATTGCCCCGACCCAGGTGCAGGACCTTGCACTTGGCCTTGTTGAACTCCATGCGTTCATGAGTCACTGATTCCTTATTTGCCAATTCACCTGTAAAGAAAGTCTGAGCTACCCAGGTACAAACAGCATACAAGGAAATCACTGCAGAAAATTCTAGGCTTCTTGATTTGGAAACTGGGATTTTCCCGCATTAGGATCCGCACAGCCTACTAAGGAATTCGTAAACACTCTTCTCACGCTAGCACAGCTATGCAATGCTGGGCATGATTTCATCTCCCCAGTTACATCAGGGTTGCATCCACCCCAGAGTGTGTTGTTTAGCTCTTACTACCACGACAGAACCTTGCCATGGTTGGGTCTCAGCACCCTTTTTTTTTTTTATCCCAGTCCATGGGTCTTGCATACTAAGCTTCTATTATTTATACTGTCTGTTCAAACAAAAAAATAGTGTTTCCAATGTTGTATCTCTACCTGGCTTTTGCGTTTCTTTGTATTTTCAACTTTGACCCTGAAAGTCAAGGGGAAGTAGGACGTCGGTGTGCTCCACGTTCTGGGATACGTCCAGGTCACTGTTCCATTTGTCGCCACATACTGACATTGGGGTGGGTCGGGTTTTACTGCAAGAGAAAATATAGAAGGAATTAATTGACATGAGTGGCATAATACCAGATATAGGTGTACTACTGTTGGTAGTTTTATAGGAATTGGCTTTGGGAGCCTCCATGAGATGAAGAGAGGAGTAGGCATGAAGTGTAAGAACTGCCTTGTATGCTTCTCGTGGAAAATTAAGCACACTCTCAGAGCCTCTCTGGTTAAGATCCTTCTTTTTTTGCCTGGAGGGTTGCAGAGGGCTCTGTTGAACACAGAGGAATGCCATCAACCCCTGCTGACTGTTAGGGAATTTAGCAAAACATCTGTTTCTTTAGGATGCTGCTTCTTTTCCTGTGCCCTGTGGCATGGTCACCACTGGTCCTCTTCTTTCCTGACAGGTTCTGTTAACCCGCCGTGGATGCCCAGCTGTAAGAATGGATCAGAAGGGAAGCATACGTAGCGCGTTAACCATTATCTGAGTCAATCTGCAATTCTCAGAGGAGAGCCTGCTGGATTACTGGTTATTCTCTGACTTCTAAAACATGTCCATCTAATACAGAAGGCTACAGAAACTTCTGGAAGATGTGGGGGTGAGAGGGTTGGAGGTCACAAGCTAGGGAGATGCTGCTGCTTCACTTCCTCATCCTCTTCCAGACTGCTGCTATGATTTGTTTTCCCCTGTTCCTGTAACTGGGGGCTTGATACAGATTTACAGTAGAATAGGGCAGGGATTCCCAAGCTTGGTTTGATCAGCTACTGCTGTTAGTTCACCACCAGCAGCAACAATACAGCTAAGAATTAATCATGATTCCTAATCTACTCACTGATATCTCTGATGAAGAAGCTGCTGGTGTAGTTCTCATATTCCACCTCATCGATGACCTCCAGGAACATCTCAGTTGGCTGGTGCTCTTCAGCAAATGGACAGTAGTTTTCTTTCTGGCACTGGGCTGTGTATTCTGTCACTGATTTATCAGTGCGAGCTACAGGGCTGCTGCAGGTTACATCTCCTTGAGAGCTGAATACAGAACAGAGAAAAGTACTGGAAATGATGGTTTGTTCTGAGAATTCGTTGCCACAATGATACCATGGAGTTGGTAAGGTGAAAATGTTTTGCTGTTGCCGGTATCATTTTAGGGCTGCACTTCAACAGCTGCAGAAACAGTTCAGTGGGAGTTCTTACATTTTCAGGGCTGTATTACATATTAATGTAAAATTACACACCCCTGCCCCCCCCCAACCTTAGCAGAAGTAATTTGTGTTTAAACCTAAAACAAGATGTCATTTCTTATTACACCACTGTCCATGACAAGCTCTGGTATCTTACTTTGTTCCTTAGACCTTTCCAAAACCTTGCTGGAAGAAATAAGGGAAGGTTCAAATGTATCCATTGGGAAATAAATAACAAAAGCAATCTGTAAAGTACTACCTGAATCTGGTTCTACTTTTGCATTAAGCAAAATAAAATACTTTGCAGTTGTTTTTTTTTTTCTTTAACAAAGTGAAGTGACCTTTGCTCAAGCTCTCCATGTCTTGGAGAAACCCCCAAGAGTAGTGGGAGGTAGGAAATCCCCACAAGGTTCCCCTCACACATTTCCCTTCCAGGTTTCTGCAGCGTTCCTCAACAGAGACTTGTCAGTGGACATGTGGCTTTTGCAGTGGGTGCAGCCTCCCACTCCCTTAATTCCACTGGATCTGCTGTGAAGGGACCCAGTGCTGTGATTGTTCCTGCTTTGGGCTCAACTTCCTCTCTTTTCCTGCATCAACTGTTTTGGCTGTTGCTTAAGTTTTTCTGTGGCTGTGCTGTAGCAGCTGTAACAGTCCAGCGGGGGTTGTTCCATTTTCAAGTCTTTATTCATTTCTGAGCAACTTCCATGCCCTTCTTAGTTAAATCAGTCCCAGTGACAGCTCAAAATATTTTTCAGATGCTCAGACACTGGAAGTGGGATTCCTCGCCTTTTACACATCCTCAGTAACCTAAAATCCAGGATCTACACAGAGTAGCAGAGGGCTGTTCCAGCCTTACTATGAGGTTGTTAAGGAAAGTACAAGCTTTTACCCTTTTAGACTTCTGATTGTGAACTTCACATTTGGACTCTCATTTTCTGTCATCCATGAACACATGAAAATTCCAGAGTAGTTCTTTGCCTCACATTTTAAAAATGTCCTGTTCGGCTCTAGATGGAAAAAGAAAGAAACATGATTTATTTACTCTTTTTGCCAAAACGGTCAAAGCAGGGAGAAAACCGTAATTCGGCAGACTCCCATCTACCTTGGTGGTGGCGGGCACACGGGCACAGTCTCACGCTGCCCCTCAGGCAGCCACCTGCAGTTAAACAGCCATGTAACCACAGCTGGTGGCCCACAGCTGGGTTAGGTGGCACCACACTAACCACATCTACGTGGCTACTGCGAGGAGCCGGAGCATACCCAAGCTGTTGCAGATAGCTGTCAGTATGAGACTGAGGTAGACAAATCCACTGCTCCTTTCACAAGGCAACGCTGCAGCTGTTCACTTGGCAAACCCCTGCATTTGTTGCCCCGTGCGTGAGAGCGCACGCCGTGGATAATCTCCTATCTTCACACACCGGGGCACTTGGTGGGGAATGTTTCCAGTGTGAGAAGTGAATGAGACCTCAGCATAGGCATGGGTTTAGTTTCTGCTGCCCAGCACTGCAGACTCTCACCAGCTCTACATTGTACCCTGGATGTAGCTGCACCGATATCTGGGTCCAGGAGCCAGGGAAAAAGCCTTGGAAATTCCTAAGTTTTGGCACTACAGCGAGGGACTGCAGTATGAGACACGCATGAGTGAGGTTCATGCAGAAAACACAAACCATCCCAGGCTTGTCCCAGTGGGTTAATGGTGAATGGAGAAGCCCAAATGACACCGCTTAAAATCCAGGTCAGTCCCTGGTTCTGTCAGATCAGGTAGCCCCGGTCTTGCAAACTCTCTCCTGAGTGCTGTGCCTGTGAGATGGAGGCAAAGCGAGTCAATCGCTCCCTCCCCAGAACAGCAGTGGTGTAGTATTGATGTTATCCTGTATCTACTCATTCCTACCATCACTCCATCCTACAGGTCTAGAGAGTCCTAAATTAATCCCATGGCAACCGATTCCTATGCTGCTCGTCAGCTGCACCACGTGCAGACCCAGAAAAGGAATCATTTGCCTTTCACTGTCCATAAAGCATTTGAAGAGGACCCAGTTTAAAGTGCGTATTTCTCATGTATTTCTCCAGAGCGCTCCCTCTGGTTTCCATAAAGCTCCCGTGCACAAAGCTGAGCAAGATGCATCCCAGCATCTTATGACCGTACCTTTAAAGCTTTTTAGAATTGATCTTATCATTTGCCCATTGGAGTCTATTTTAGTTATGAGGAAGAAATCGTAGCTGATGATTTCATGGGTATCAGCTGTCAGACAGGTGTAGTTGCCAGCATCTGGGAACTCTTTCACTTCGGCAATCAGCGTTTTTCCAGTTCCTTTCAGTTCCATGCCCTTTTTCCAGTAAACCGGCAGTGCTTCATCCGCTGTGTTACAGGTGAGCTCCACTCTTTTAGCTGGTGTCTTGTCATTCCACTCTGATTCGATGACGTACACTGGACATCGCAGAGAAAGACACGTTAGCAGCAATTCATACTTAACAGTGGGAAGATTCAACGGACCCCTTTTTTTTCAGCTCTACTCTCCAGGAAAACTGCTAACAAATCTCCGTCTGTCTTGCCCAAGGCCTCACCTTTGACTTGAAATATTTATTCCAAGAAGAGGTTTGACTTAGAAATTTACAGCGTAGCTAGAACCTGCAGATCAGTAGTGATGGCATTTTAATGGAAGAAGTGATTTTTTTTTTCCATGTTCCCAGAGAATTTTACAGTGGTTCATAACTGTGGGAAGTAGGCAGGTGCCTTTGTTCTAAAGGTGAGGCTGCCAGGACACATCGAGGCCGGGGTGTTCCTCCTGCCCATGGCCTGTGGCCTTTGCTCACAGGAAGGTGTGTAAAACCCCACCATACTACAGCACTTTGCTGTGGCACAAAGCTCTGATGCTTTGCGCTCTTCAGCGTCCAAGGCCTGCGAGTGAGCAAGGGGCAGGAGGGGAGCTCTAGGCAAGTGGTTTGTATTTACCTGTAGCTGATTCTGTTTTCCATTTTCTGCAGGGAACAACCTGCACTCCTACCACCCTGGGCCCAGTGGAGCAATTACGAAGGGACAGGGGATCGCTGAGCTACAGCAGAGTGAAGTGGACTGCAACAGGGAGATGGGGCCTTCTAAACGTCATCCTGTAACTCCGCAGTGCCCTGCTGGTCTTTCCAAATTAGAGACACACCACATAACAAAATAACTTGGAACAATTCCGTTAAAGAAACATTATCTTTTCTTGTCCCTTTGCTGTGGTTGACTGAAAAACTTCACCCACATTTCTGTGCAGCAACAGTTCTCAAATTTAAATGTCATTGCTCAGCTATGGTACTGCTGTGGCAGGCTCCCCAGCCATGTTCAGTGCCCTCAGAGACTCTTCTACATCCAAGAAGCAGCAAAAACCTTTTCCTTAGTGTGTCAACACCGCAGCAAGCACTCAGCTCAGGAAATCAGCGTTTCAGTGAACTCTAAGACCTTTTCACCAGAGCATTTCACCACCAGAAAAAGATCTTTAAGACTTTACCACAAAGAAGAAACACTAAAACCTACATGTCAAAGGCAACTGAAAATGGCAGAAAACATGCAGCTCCAGGAAGCTTACCAAACTGCTTATGGACGTTTGAAGCACAGCCAAGGTACATCTTACAGACTTCAAACACAGAGATTATTGTCAATACTGACAAATGTATTTGCAATTTTCAGCACCATGGAATTGTCCAGGGAACCCACAGGATAAATCATGCATTAATATAAAGATAAAGGAAGAAGTAACTGATTTACTTTTTTTACATAAACCACAATCGGATAGAGAATGCTTTTCTTATGTTGAATAGGGTCATTCTTTTTGGATAATTGCACTGAAGACAGCCTGGATTATGGAGCTTTGCTGGGTGAATAAGAACAGCAAATGTGAATTTAGCCCAACTTTTGGGTAAGTTATTCAAAAAGATTTGTTTGTTTATACTGACCCCATATTTTTAGAAATGTATTTGCATTTAAGTTATTTACCAGAAAAGTTGGATAAACTATTTCTAGGGTTTAGTTTTTAATGTGAAATATTCTTTTTGACAATTAAATCTTCACTTGTTTGTTTGTGGGCTATTACCTAAGTCACAAGATTCTGTTTCTGCTTCCAGACTGCATGACTGAAATTTTTGCAACAAGAGAACAGGGAATAGGAAATAAGACAGTTTCTAATGCAAATGCTCAGAATGGCCACTGTACGACATTTCAGGGCTTCTATGTCTTTCTTCCATTAATACCAATTAGTTGGCTAGTTATTCACGAACAAGTAGGAAGAACCTTGGCCTAAGACCCTGTAGATAACAAATTCTGTGCTTGCAGACACAAGTGTAATTCTGACCCGACCAGCTGTAGGTCTCAGTAAGTGAAGACTGCTTACCGTTTTCCCGCAGTTTCCACTGTGCTTCCAGAAGGGCAGCAAAGGAAAATAATGAAAGCAAGGCAAATAGTAGGTGAGACATCTGCAGGGAAAAAATAAATTACTCATCTTCATTGAGGATTGTTGAAGGTGTACTGAAATCGAGCTCAGTGCTGGACAGGACAATAACAAGAGAGAGTCAGTTCCAGTGAACTAAGAAACACTCTCCCATTCTAAGAACTCTTAGACTACATAAAAATTGAATATCAGGTTTGTACTGGAGCTCAAGCCAAGATCTGCTCGTTATTCACACCGCAAACCAGTTTAGAGAAGAAATCACTGAACTTGATGGAACTTGTGTGCTTAGGTCTCAAACAGTCAGGAGCTCAGAAGTATTCCCAGGTCCCTCAGTCAAATATTCCTCATGCAAGAAAAGTCCTGCTGATGCCACTGAGGCCAGTTGCATGAACAAAGCATTGGACTAAAGGATCAATGGACGTTAAATTCCAGTCATATAAAACTCCTAAGTATATTCCTTGGTTTAAGCATGTCAGTAGTCCCGTTAAAACAAAGGATTGCAAACAAAATGAAGGACCTGCTGAAGTGTTTAGCTGGACTGTAGTCTTCATCATCTCTGAGAACAAGTGCCAGCAGTGTCAATAATGCAGTGTAGTGCTGGCCTCAACACTGACACTTGCCTAACTGGTACTAGCTCCAGTATCCACCTGAGGGGTCTAATTTGGCAAGCTATTTCAGGCAAAATTCCTACCTGATTCACTGCCACAGCTGTATGTGCAGAAATGGCTGGATACATATATCATTGTTGGTGTGTTCATTTGAGACAAAATCATGTCTCTGACTTGAGAACATGTAAGTATATAGCTCTATGTGCAATATAGAAACCTATATATTTCCCGAATTCAAAATACAGCTAGAGCTCTTCATGAAACACAAAACGTATTTGTAAAATATTTTAGTAACCACCAGGTGCGTAAAAAACCTAAGTGACAGTTATTTAGATAAACTTTCAGACCTTTTTCAACTGAAGATTAAGCCAAATGAATCGGAGTATGACTTAGAAAAAGAGATTGGTGAATAGATCTCTCAAAGTCTATTCTGACTACAGTGGGAGTCTGAGTGCACAAGAAGAACACAAAATTAAGTGGTTTGTTTTTTCTTTTTTTCCTACCAACCAGTCTTTTTCAGTGAAAGGGGAGTAATCCTCCTGATTTCTTCTCATGTGCTACGACACATTGTCATTTGGGTTTACAGAGGAAGAGTATGTGTGTGCACCAAATCTGTTACTCACTGCCAGTTTGTGCTATTATTAGCAGTCCTGAATCTTGAGGAGAAGTCAGCTGTCTCTGGACCAATGCCAAGAAAGTGTGCCATCTGATTTTGTACAACACGCGGCACAGCTATTAAGGGGAGTAGAAACTACGAGTATCCAGAGAAAAACCAGCTCACATTGCATTTGTACTCGGAGAGAGGCAGGAGCCTCAGTGAAAAGCCAGACACTGTCAGGCAGCCTGTCAGCAGTCTATTGCTTCATTAAAAGGCTGTCTTAGCTCCTGATGATTTTCTACTCAGGCAGGATTATCTGTGATTTCCAAAATTAAAATGCATTTTGCAACTTTCTGAAAGATGCTCATTCCTTTCCTTGTAACACAGCATTCATCACTATGCTTCATAAAACCAGTATCTTAAGCACCAAGTAAAACATGGAGGGGGAGAAGGGTGTAAAACATGCCTTCTTTTCTGTATCAACCTTTCATCAAAATTGGAACCTTGGAAACAAAAAAAGTTCCTCCTGGTTTTAGGGAGAAGCTTCACTATTCCAGTTTTTGATTAAAAAAATAAACATTTTTCATGGAAAATTATTCAATTTTGGAGAGGAGGGGAGAACACCATCCCTCCATGTCAAATCTTTACTGAAACATTAATCAGAAATAAACTCAGTTTCTGAACATCACTGACCAGTGACATTGCCAAGCACTCCATAGATGAGAAGAGTGTACCACCATCCTACGTGCCCCGTGATCTGCAGCCTGAGCTGCTGTAAATCAGGACAGATTCCTTCACGGAGAATCGCAGAATAATTTGTCAGAAAGGATCTCTGGACATCACCTGGACCTGCCCAGCTCAAGGCAGGGCCAGATCAACAGTGGTGCATTTTTTTAAAAACAAAGAACGGTCTGACCATAAATGCGTATTTCTCGATGCACACACCCCAGCAACATGAATATTGGTAAGATACAAAAGATTATGACCTTAAAACATCAGCTGTTTAGACAACAGTTCTAAGAGCTATATACATATATACACTCTGTGCCTAACTTCAGGCACGTAAGCATATAAATGCTGCCCTGAGAAAAATGTCACAACAACTAGTTAAATACGCTTTTAAATAAAGGATTTTAAATCTTCATTAGTTTTATCTGAAGCGGCTGGTACCCGACCTGTGTTGCCCCAGTGCTAGAGAAGAAAGGAATTCTCACCTTTGCCTGTAATGCCTGTTAGCTGAAGTCGCCAGGCACGTTGGTTTTGTGATCTGAAGGAAGCAAAGTTCTGGCTCCCTTATAAATACTTGTAAACTCTGAAAGGAAAGGGATGCTCCGTTTCACCGCAATACCACAGAATTGCAACACGTGGCCTGAGTTCCTTTTTTACATAGTGGCAGAGCTAAAGCAAAAAAAAAAAAAGTTTGGGACTCCCAGGTAAACTTTAAAGAGGAAATGAGATTATGAGATTGTTACTATGACCTTTATGGTACGCCAGAGGCATTTCCTTTCCTGCCTGATTTTCTGTCGCTCTCATACTGCCTGTTCATCGTCTGAGGAAGAGTAAATACAGACTAAATAAACTTCCAAAACTGTCTGATGGGAAACAAATTATGAAGACAGAAAGAGAAAGTTAAATAAACTAAATCTATTTCTACCTGGTAAACTCAAGAGAGATAATGACATGAAATAAAAATCCCAGCTACCACATCCATCGGAAGTACACCTAAGGGAAAATTAATTTTTAACTGTTGTTTTAGGATTGTATTTATTCTGAAATTTGAGACTTAGGTCAATCAAAGAATAAACAGTTAGTTCTGGCTGGGAGATAAACCCTGAGATTTTTTATGTTGCAATTTTTAAATATAACCTATTGTTTTTTCTTTATAACTCGATGTTCCTTTCAGACCTGTACTCAAGCACCAGAAACGCCCCATATGTAAGGTACACTTTGAAAATGTTTCTATTGTTTTTTTAATTATTTGTGAAATAGAAAACAATTCACTTCATTTGTCACAACGGAGTTGTTCCTCTAGCCCTGTCCCAAACCTGAATAAGAGGACTAAACAGCTGTAAGCAAGAAGAAAGACACTGCTTATAGAAGAAGAAAAAAGGTTTGAAATTCAACCTGACATGCTTTAGGAGTTCCTAGAGACACAGTTGTATCCTGCGTGCTTTCTAGTGATGGAGGTGTTGCCACAGCCCGGAGATCAAAGCTCTCACGGAGTAACCCAGCAGTGAAAAGGTGGTGCCTGTCCCTTCTGCTGCAGTCGGTGGTCTTTCAGATGTCCTTCACATGGGTGAAACCACACAAGCACCTGCAATACACTGCATATTTCATGCCCCCAAATATGGCACGAACATAAAAATAAAGGAGGAACAACCCAAATGAGACAACTTCTTATGAATCCCAGCCGTTCCCGGTGCATGGGGTTCCTGGTTTTTGTCGCACATCTGGGAGGCACAACTGCAGAGCGCGCGGCGTGCTCTGATTTGAAGGAGGGTACGTTCAGGGCTCTGGATGAACCGTGCTGAAAGCTTTACACAAATGTGCAGTCTTACCAGCGGTATCTTCTCTCCTGGCCATCCTCTTCAAAGAAACACTGCTTGAGCAGGATCACGTACACCTCTGGCAGCTGAGCTTTAACTCCCTCCTATCTGACAAAACACAAAAGTAGAGCACTGCAATCTCGGATGGGCCTGGCAACCTCCCTGAGCCCAGCGTACCCAGTACTCAGGCATCAGTCCCAGACTTCCATCCGCTAGATCCCACAGCCAGAGCTGGGCAGGAGCAGGGGGAGCGGCTGCCGGCTGAGGGCAGCTTTCTGAAGGAGGTTTGAAACGGCAGCTCTGTCACAAACTGCTCCCTTCACGTGCTGTGCACTGACTCTGGATCAGAGTGCTTTATTGACTTATTCATGACACAGAATGGACCAGCTACCAGTGAACTATTCATTTGAGATCCGTATCAATAATATAACAGATAAGCCAGAGCACTAAACACTTCAAAAATGTTAATTAATACCTAGACATCTCCACCCTCCACTTAACCCAAAAAAGCTTCAATGTCCCCCTCCCACACACACGCACGGTGTTACACACGCGCGTTGGAAGGATGTGTGGGTTACAAGCACGCCTGCATCTGGCTGATGCTTGTCTTCCTCTCTCACATAACCATTTGGGAGGAATGTCTTCTCCGGGAGTTTGGGGTCCTCCATTCACATGCACTCTCTCTTTTCCCACTCCCATCTCAGCAGCTGCTGTTATCCAGGCCATTTTGCCAAAGGTGGGCCGTGCACTGACAGTTCTGCTGTTGTTGTTTCATTGTTCAGAAAGAGAAAAATGGCAGTCTGAAAGCATGTTAGATATTAGATATCAGGAAGAAATAGATATCAGGAAGATATCATTAGATATCAGGAAGATATCAGGAAGAAATTCTTCCGGAAGAGGGTGGTGAGGCACTGGAACCGGTTGCCCAGAGAAGCTGTGGATGCCCCATCCCTGGATGTCTTCAAGGCCAGGCTGGATGAGGCTTTGAGCAACCTGGTCTGGTGGAAGGTGTCCCTGCCCATGGCAGGGGGGTTGGAACTGGATGATCTTTAAGGTCCCTTCCAACCCAAACAATTCTGTGATTCTATGATTCTATGTTGGGAAAGATGTGGCAGAAGCAGCTGGGGCACAGGCAAGTGATAGCTATTCAAACTGTGACAGGTGACAAGATTGTCTCCTTCTGATCCTGGTCCCTCTGAAACGCATGTCAGGAGGAGGCTGGGCTGTGCACCATATTCCCATTCACCTGCGTCTCCTCCCAGGGGAAACCTTG